GGAGACCCCATTGGATTTCAAGTCCAACGCCTTAACCACTCGGCCATCACAGCAGTTGATGCAATGACAAGTGCTCCTAAAAATGTTGGCTTAAAATTTGTTGTTATTTTATTTGCAATTGTTACATGACATGATACATAACATTGACGTCAAGTTCACGCACATGTTTTTCTTTTTTACGAAATGTAAATGGCATTAAGTGATATATATATATAATGTAAACTTGGTGCCAATGCGAATCATTTTCTTAATTTGCATGCGTTCTTGCGGTTGATCTACGCACAATCATGTATACAGCGGTGCAACGACGTGTTCTAAAACATTCGCTGCGAGCAGGGTTCGAACATGCTGCGCGGGGAGACCCCATTAGATTTCAAGTCCAACAACGCCTTAACCACTCGGCCATCACAGCAGTTTATGCAATTAAAAGTGCTCCTAAAACTTTTGGCTTCAAAATTGTTGTCATTATATAATATAAACTTCGTGCCAATGCGAATCATTTTCTTAATTTGCATGCGTTCTTGCGGTTGTCCCCCAACGGCCAACAATGTTTAAAGCGGTGCAACGAGGTGTTCAAAAACCTTCGCTGCGAGCAGGGTTCGAACCTGCACGGGGATACCCCATTGGATTTCAAGTCCAACGCCTTAAACACTCGGCCATCACAGCAGTTGATGCAATGGCAAGTGCTCCTAAAAATTTTGGCTTCAAAATTGTTGTCATTTTATTTGTATTTGTTACATGACATGTTACATAACATTGACGTCAAGTACACGCACTTGTTTTTCTTTTTTACGAGACGTAAATGGCATTAAGTGATATATATATATAATGTAAACTTGGTGCCAATGCGAATCATTTTCTTAATTTGCATGCGTTCTTGCGGTTGATCTACGCACAATCATGTATACAGCGGTGCAACGAGGTGTTCTAAAACATTCGCTGCGAGCAGGGTTCGAACCTGCGCGGGGAGACCCCATTTGATTTCAAGTTCAACGCCTTAACCACTCGGCCATCACAGCAGTTGATGCAATGACAAGTGCTCCTAAAAAATTTGGCTGAAAATTTGTTGTCATTTTATTTGCATGTGTTACATGACAATGCCATGCTACATGGCATTGACGTCAAAAGTTCACGCACCTGTTTTTCTCTTTTAAGTGATGTAAATGGCATTAACTCATATATATATATAATGTAAACTTGGTGCCAATGAGAATCATTTTCATAATTTGCATGCGTTCTTGCGGTTGATCTACGCACAATCATGTATACAGCGGTGCAACGAGGTGTTCTAAAACATTCGCTGCGAGCAGGGTTCGAACCTGCGCGGGGAGACCCCATTGGATTTCAAGTCCAACGCCTTAACCACTCGGCCATCACAGCAGTTGATGCAATGACAAGTGCTAAAAAAAATTTTGGCTGAAAAATTGTTGTCATTTTCTTTGCATGTGTTACATGACATTGACATGTTACATGAAATTGACATCAAGTTCACCCACTTGTTTTTCTCTTTTACGAGACGTGAATGGCATTAAGTGATATATATATATAATGTAAACTTGGTGCCAATGCGAATCATTTTCTTAATTTGCATGTGTTCTTGCGGTTGATCTACGGCCAATCATGTATACAGCGGTGCAACGAGGTGTTCTAAAACATTCGCTGCGAGCAGGGTTCGAACCTGCTGCGCGGGGAGACCCCATTAAATTTCAAGTCCAACAACGCCTTAACCACTCGGCCATCACAGCAGTTTATGCAATTAAAAGTGCTCCTAAAACTTTTGGCTTCAAAATTGTTGTCATTATATAATATAAACTTCGTGCCAATGCGAATCATTTTCTTAATTTGCATGCGTTCTTGCGGTTGTCCCCCAACGGCCAACAATGTTTAAAGCGGTGCAACGAGGTGTTCAAAAACCTTCGCTGCGAGCAGGGTTCGAACCTGCACGGGGATACCCCATTGGATTTCAAGTCCAACGCCTTAAACACTCGGCCATCACAGCAGTTGATGCAATGGCAAGTGCTCCTAAAAATTTTGGCTTCAAAATTGTTGTCATTTTATTTGTATTTGTTACATGACATGTTACATAACATTGACGTCAAGTTCACGCACTTGTTTTTCTTTTTTACGAGACGTAAATGGCATTAAGTGATATATATATATAATGTAAACTTGGTGCCAATGTGAATCATTTTCTTAATTTGCGTGTGTTCTTGCGGTTGATCTACGCACAATCATGTATACAGCGGTGCAACGAGGTGTTCTAAAACATACGCTGCGAGCAGGGTTCGAACCTGCGCGGGGAGACCCCATTGGATTTCAAGTCCAACGCCTTAACCACTCGGCCATCACAGCAGTTGATGCAATGACAAGTGCTCCTAAAAATGTTGGCTTAAAATTTGTTGTTATTTTATTTGCATTTGTTACATGACATTACATTGACGTCAAGTTCACGCACTTGTTTCTCTCTTTTAAGAGATGTAAATGGCACCAAGTCATATATATATAATGTAAACTTGGTGCCAATGCGAATCATTTTCTTAATTTGCATGTGTTCTTGCGGTTGATCTACGGCCAATCATGTATACAGCGGTGCAACGAGGTGTTCTAAAACATTCGCTGCGAGCAGGGTTCAAACCTGCTGCGCGGGGAGACCCCATTGGATTTCAAGTCCAACGCTTAACCACTCGGCCCATCACAGCAGTGATGCAATGGCAAGTGCTCCTAAAAATTTTGGCTTCAAAATTGTTGTCATTTTATTTGTATTTGTTACATGACATGTTACATAACATTGACGTCAAGTTCACGCACTTGTTTTTCTTTTTTACGAGACGTAAATGGCATTAAGTGATATATATATATAATGTAAACTTGGTGCCAATGCGAATCATTTTCTTAATTTGCATGCGTTCTTGCGGTTGATCTACGGCCAATCATGTATACAGCGGTTCAACGATCTATTCTAGAACATTCGTTGCGAGCAGGGTTTGAACCTGCGCGGGGAGACCTCATTAGATTTCAAGTCCAACGCCTTAACCACTCGGCCATCACAGCAGTTGATGCAATGACAAGTGCTCCTAAAAAATTTGGCTGAAAATTTGTTGTCATTTTATTTGCATGTGTTACATGACATTGCCATGTTACATAACATTGACGTCAAGTTCACGCACCTGTTTTTCTCTTTTAAGTGATGTAAATGGCATTAACTCATATATATATATAATGTAAACTTGGTGCCAATGAGAATCATTTTCATAATTTGCATGCGTTCTTGCGGTTGATCTACGCACAATCATGTATACAGCGGTGCAACGAGGTGTTCTAAAACATTCGCTGCGAGCAGGGTTCGAACCTGCGCGGGGAGACCCGATTGGATTTCAAGTACAACGCCTTAACCACTCGGCCATCACAGCAGTTGATGAAATGACAAGTGCTCCGAAAAATGTTGGCTTAAAATTTGTTGTTATTTTATTTGCATTTGTTACATGACATTGACATGATACATAACATTGACGTCAAATTCACGCACTTGTTTTTTCTTTTTTTACGAGATGTAAATGGCATTAAGTGATATATATATAATGTAAACTTGGTGCCAATGCGAATCATTTTCTTAATTTGCATGCGTTCTTGCGGTTGATCTACGGCCAATTATGTATACAGCGGTGCAACGAGGTGTTCTAAAACATTCGCTGCGAGCAGAGTTCGAACCTGCGCGGGGAGACCCCATTGGATTTCAAGTCCAACGCCTTAATCACTCGGCCATCACAGCAGTTGATGCAATGACAAGTGCTCGTAAAAATTTTGGCTTCAGAATTGTTGTCATTTTATTTGCGTTCGCTACATGACTTTGTCATGTTACATCACATCAACGTCAAGTTCACGCAACCGTTTTTTCTCTTTTACGAGATGAAAATGGCATTAAGTGATATATATAATGTAAACTTGGTGCCAATGCGAATCATTTTCTTAATTTGCAGTTGATCTACGGCCAATCATGTATACAGCGGCGCAACGAGGTGTTCTAAAACATTCGCTGCGAGCAGTGTTCGAACCTGCGCGGGGAGACCCCATTGGATTTCAAGTCCAGCAACGCCTTAACCACTCGGCCATCACAGCAGTTTATGCAATTAAAAGTGCTCCTAAAACTTTTGGCTTCAAAATTGTTGTCATTATATAATATAAACTTCGTGCCAATGCGAATCATTTTCTTAATTTGCATGCGTTCTTGCGGTTGTCCCCCAACGGCCAACAATGTTTAAAGCGGTGCAACGAGGTGTTCAAAAACCTTCGCTGCGAGCAGGGTTCGAACCTGCACGGGGATACCCCATTGGATTTCAAGTCCAACGCCTTAAACACTCGGCCATCACAGCAGTTGATGCAATAGCAAGTGCTCCTAAAAATTTTGGCTTCAAAATTGTTGTCATTTTATTTGTATTTGTTACATGACATGTTACATGGCATTGACGTCAAAAGTTCACGCACCTGTTTTTCTCTTTTAAGTGATGTAAATGGCATTAACTCATATAAATATATAATGTAAACTTGGTGCCAATGCGAATCATTTTCATAATTTGCATGCTTTCTTGCGGTTGATCTACGCACAATCATGTATACAGCGGTGCAATGAGGTGTTCTAAAACATTCGCTGCGAGCAGGGTTCGAATCTGCGCGGGGAGACCCCATTGGATTTCAAGTCCAACGCCTTAACCACTCGGTCATCACAGCAGTTGATGCAATGACAAGTGCTCCTAGAAATTTTGGCTGAAAATTTGTTGTTATTTTATTTGCATTTGTTACATAACATTGCCATGTTACATAACATTGACGTCAAGTTCACGCACTTGTTTTTCTCTTTTAAGAGATGTAAATGGCATTAAGTCATATATATATTATTTAAACTTGGTGCCAATGCGAATCATTTTCATAATTTGCATTCATTCATGCGGTTGATCTACGGCCTATTATATATACAGCGGCTCAACGAGGTGTTCTAAAACATTCGCTGCGATCAGGGTTTGAACCTGCGCGGGGAGGCCCCATTGGATTTCGAGTCCAACTCCTTAACCACTGGGCCATCACAGCAGTTGATGCAATGACAAGTGCTCCTAAAAATGTTGGCTTAAAATTTGTTGTTATTTTATTTGCATTTGTTACATGACATTAACTTCAAATTCACACACTTGTTTTTCTTTTTTACGAGATGTAAATGGCATTAAGTGATATATATAATGTAAACTTGGTGCCAATGCGAATCATTTTCTTAATTTGCATGCGATCTTGCGGTTGATCTACGGCCAATCATGTATACAGCGGTGCAACGATGTGTTCTTAAACATTCACTGCGAGCAGGGTTCGAAACTGCGCGGGTAGACCCCATTGGATTTCGAGTCCAACGCCTTAACCACTCGGCCATCACAGCAGTTGATACAATGACAAGTGCTCCTAGAAATTTTTGATGAAAATTTGTTGTTATTTTATTTGAATTTGTTACATAACATTGCCATGTTACATAACATTGACGTCAAGTTCACGCACTTGTTTGTTTTTTACGAGAAGTAAATGGCATTAAGTGATATATATAATGTAAACTTGGTGCCAATGCGAATAATTTTCATAATTTGCATTCATTCTTGCGGTTGATCTACGGCCAATTATGTATAATGCGGTG